CGTACGCCGCAGGCGCAGTGCCCAGCGCGCGCACGTGGCGCGCACACGCAGCAGCGTGTCCGCACTGCACGGGCCCCCACTGCACGCGTAAGCGCATTGCACACGCGCTGCACGTGCACACATCGCTGTGTACACGCATGGTGCACACCCCCCCTTGGTGCACACACGCCCGCATCGCGCGTGCACGTGCACTGTGCACACTGCCTGCCCATAGGCTGCATGCAGACACACGCCTTGCACGTGCGCTGCACACACACACCGCGTGCACGCTGAATGCTTGCGGCACACTCACTGCACGCACACCCCTTGCACACCCACTGCATGCACACTGCACGCACACCCCTTGCACACACACCCGTTGCACACACACTGCATGCACGCACACTGCACGCACACTGCACACACACTGCACGCACAATGCATGCACACCCCTTGCACACACACTGCACGCACACCCCTTGCACACACCCCCACTGCACGCACACCCCTTGCACAACCACTGCATGCACACTGCATGCACGCACACTGCACGCACACTGCACACACACTGCACGCACAATGCATGCACACCCCTTGCACACACACTGCACGCACACCCCTTGCACACACACCTGTTGCACACACCCCCCTTGCATGCACATCCCTTGCACACACACCTGTTGCACACCCACTGCACGCACACCCCTTGCACACACCCCCACTGCACGCACACCCCTTGCACAACCACTGCATGCACACTGCATGCACGCACACTGCACGCACACTGCATGCACACCTGTTGCACACACACCCCTTGCACACACACCCCTTGCACACACACTGCACACACACCCCTTGCACATACACCTGTTGCACACACACTGCACGCACACCCCTTGCACATACCCCCACTACACGCACACCCTTTGCACACACACTGCAGGCACACCCCTTGCACATACCCCCACTACACGCACACCCTTTGCACACACACTGCAGGCACACCCCTTGCACATACCCCCACTACACGCACACCCTTTGCACACACACTGCAGGCACACCCCTTGCACATACCCCCACTACACGCACACCCTTTGCACACACACTGCAGGCACACCCCTTGCACATACCCCCACTACACGCACACCCTTTGCACACACACTGCAGGCACACCCCTTGCACATACCCCCACTACACGCACACCCTTTGCACACACACTGCAGGCACACCCCTTGCACATACCCCCACTACACGCACACCCTTTGCACACACACTGCAGGCACACCCCTTGCACATACCCCCACTACACGCACACCCTTTGCACACACACTGCAGGCACACCCCTTGCACATACCCCCACTACACGCACACCCTTTGCACACACACTGCAGGCACACCCCTTGCACATACCCCCACTACACGCACACCCTTTGCACACACACTGCAGGCACACCCCTTGCACATACCCCCACTACACGCACACCCTTTGCACACACACTGCAGGCACACCCCTTGCACATACCCCCACTACACGCACACCCTTTGCACACACACTGCAGGCACACCCCTTGCACATACCCCCACTACACGCACACCCTTTGCACACACACTGCAGGCACACCCCTTGCACATACCCCCACTACACGCACACCCTTTGCACACACACTGCAGGCACACCCCTTGCACATACCCCCACTACACGCACACCCTTTGCACACACACTGCAGGCACACCCCTTGCACATACCCCCACTACACGCACACCCTTTGCACACACACTGCAGGCACACCCCTTGCACATACCCCCACTACACGCACACCCTTTGCACACACACTGCAGGCACACCCCTTGCACATACCCCCACTACACGCACACCCTTTGCACACACACTGCAGGCACACCCCTTGCACATACCCCCACTACACGCACACCCTTTGCACACACACTGCAGGCACACCCCTTGCACATACCCCCACTACACGCACACCCTTTGCACACACACTGCAGGCACACCCCTTGCACATACCCCCACTACACGCACACCCTTTGCACACACACTGCAGGCACACCCCTTGCACATACCCCCACTACACGCACACCCTTTGCACACACACTGCAGGCACACCCCTTGCACATACCCCCACTACACGCACACCCTTTGCACACACACTGCAGGCACACCCCTTGCACATACCCCCACTACACGCACACCCTTTGCACACACACTGCAGGCACACCCCTTGCACATACCCCCACTACACGCACACCCTTTGCACACACACTGCAGGCACACCCCTTGCACATACCCCCACTACACGCACACCCTTTGCACACACACTGCAGGCACACCCCTTGCACATACCCCCACTACACGCACACCCTTTGCACACACACTGCAGGCACACCCCTTGCACATACCCCCACTACACGCACACCCTTTGCACACACACTGCAGGCACACCCCTTGCACATACCCCCACTACACGCACACCCTTTGCACACACACTGCAGGCACACCCCTTGCACATACCCCCACTACACGCACACCCTTTGCACACACACTGCAGGCACACCCCTTGCACATACCCCCACTACACGCACACCCTTTGCACACACACTGCAGGCACACCCCTTGCACATACCCCCACTACACGCACACCCTTTGCACACACACTGCAGGCACACCCCTTGCACATACCCCCACTACACGCACACCCTTTGCACACACACTGCAGGCACACCCCTTGCACATACCCCCACTACACGCACACCCTTTGCACACACACTGCAGGCACACCCCTTGCACATACCCCCACTACACGCACACCCTTTGCACACACACTGCACGCACACCCCTTGCACACACACCTGTTGCACACACCCCCCTTGCATGCACATCCCTTGCACACACACCTGTTGCACACCCACTGCACGCACACCCCTTGCACACACCCCCACTGCACGCACACCCCTTGCACAACCACTGCATGCACACTGCATGCACGCACACTGCACGCACACTGCATGCACACCTGTTGCACACACACCCCTTGCACACACACCCCTTGCACACACACTGCACACACACCCCTTGCACACACACCCCTTGCACACACACTGCACGCACACCCCTTGCACACACCCCCACTACACGCACACCCTTTGCACACACACTGCACACACACTGCACACACACCCCTTGCACACACACCCACTTCACGCACACTGCATGCACACCCCTGGCACACACCCCTGTTGCACCCCCACTGCACGCACACCCCTTGCACACACCCCCACTGCACGCACACCCCTTGCACAACCACTGCATGCACACTGCATGCACGCACACTGCACGCACACTGCATGCACACCTGTTGCACACACACCCCTTGCACACACACCCCTTGCACACACACTGCACACACACCCCTTGCACACACACCCCTTGCACACACACTGCACGCACACCCCTTGCACACACCCCCACTACACGCACACCCTTTGCACACACACTGCACACACACTGCACACACACCCCTTGCACACACACCCACTTCACGCACACTGCATGCACACCCCTGGCACACACCCCTGTTGCACCCCCACTGCACGCACACCCCTTGCACACACCCCCACTGCACGCACACCCCTTGCACAACCACTGCATGCACACTGCATGCACGCACACTGCACGCACACTGCATGCACACCTGTTGCACACACACCCCTTGCACACACACCCCTTGCACACACACTGCACACACACCCCTTGCACACACACCCCTTGCACACACACTGCACGCACACCCCTTGCACACACCCCCACTACACGCACACCCTTTGCACACACACTGCACACACACTGCACACACACCCCTTGCACACACACCCACTTCACGCACACTGCATGCACACCCCTGGCACACACCCCTGTTGCACCCCCACTGCACGCACACCCCTTGCACACACCCCCACTGCACGCACACCCCTTGCACAACCACTGCATGCACACTGCATGCACGCACACTGCACGCACACTGCATGCACACCTGTTGCACACACACCCCTTGCACACACACCCCTTGCACACACACTGCACACACACCCCTTGCACACACACCCCTTGCACACACACTGCACGCACACCCCTTGCACACACCCCCACTACACGCACACCCTTTGCACACACACTGCACACACACTGCACACACACCCCTTGCACACACACCCACTTCACGCACACTGCATGCACACCCCTGGCACACACCCCTGTTGCACCCCCACTGCACGCACACCCCTTGCACACACCCCCACTGCACGCACACCCCTTGCACAACCACTGCATGCACACTGCATGCACGCACACTGCACGCACACTGCATGCACACCTGTTGCACACACACCCCTTGCACACACACCCCTTGCACACACACTGCACACACACCCCTTGCACACACACCCCTTGCACACACACTGCACGCACACCCCTTGCACACACCCCCACTACACGCACACCCTTTGCACACACACTGCACACACACTGCACACACACCCCTTGCACACACACCCACTTCACGCACACTGCATGCACACCCCTGGCACACACCCCTGTTGCACCCCCACTGCACGCACACCCCTTGCACACACCCCCACTGCACGCACACCCCTTGCACAACCACTGCATGCACACTGCATGCACGCACACTGCACGCACACTGCATGCACACCTGTTGCACACACACCCCTTGCACACACACCCCTTGCACACACACTGCACACACACCCCTTGCACACACACCCCTTGCACACACACTGCACGCACACCCCTTGCACACACCCCCACTACACGCACACCCTTTGCACACACACTGCACACAACTCTGAAGGGTTTTTCTTCCGCTTTTTGAACTTTTGGTTTTCACCTCCCAACAGGAACCAAATGCCATGGCTGACGAAGAGCTGAGCGTCCGAGCTGCCAGAAAGGGAAGTTTGTCACCCAGCTGCTCCCGGGGCAGCGCGACCGAGTCGAGCACGCTGCTGCAGGAGCTGAAGGGCACCATCTCGTAAGGGCAGCGCTCGCTTTTCCCCGGGCAGCTCTTCCAGTTAATCTGAGCGTTACCAAACCTGGGGTAATTTAATAAGGCTGATTAATTTGCAGCCCCAGGGACCGACGGGATAAGCGTTGCGCTGCCTTGCAGCTTCTTGCCTTGGCGCTGGCGCGGCAGCGGTGGTCCCGTGCTAGGGGCTGCACACAGGGCGCAGCCCGGAGCCGCACTGCCTGTTTTG